CGGCATATACGGTATATTGCTGGCAGTCATCTGATCATTAGCATTCTGAAGATTGGTTGTTAGTTCTCTGAAAGTCATTGAGGCCACTTGGAGGGTTTATCTGTACCCTTAGGGTCACTTGAATCAGAGTGCAAATGAGTCTGGAACCTTCTTGGGACGGTTGAAAGGACAGTGTTTTAGACAGGAGGTCAGTGGTGTCATATCCCTCTATCTCTGTTGAAAGAAGGCAGTTCAGTTTTAACATAGACAGCCTCTTTGAGCCCTCTTTCAAATCAATGATCCTCTCTGTCCAGAATGTGGACTGTTCTGTACAGTCATTACCATTCTTGCAGACCCGCGCCGCAATTGGCTAAGACGCACGGCGAGCTGATTGGCTGAGCGAGCCGCACGGATTGGCCCGCCGCGAATCCCCCGCGATTGGTGGAAACTAATCGCGGGAGATTCAAAGCGGTGCCATTGGCCGCGGCCGCCGCGGCTAGAGAATAAAAGCCGACGCTTTTACTTTCGGAACCCGAGCCGATCTCGGGACTAATAAATGAGCTGAACTAAGTCACTGGCTCCCGAGTCTCCTTCCTAGCGCCGGACACGACATGGACAGTTTAACTTTAAACCCAAGAATACCTTAAGGCAGGAGCTTGTTCATTTCAAGGATAAAATACCCAGACACAAACTGAGCAATGTGGTATATGCTGTGCAATGTAGTGAGACCTGTACAGATTTGTACATTGGGGAAACAGAACAACCACTACACAAATGCATGGCACAACATGGAAAAACAAACCCAAATAATAATTTTGGGGAAATGCCCAACATAAACATGTTAAAAGGTTACTGGCAAGATTTGCACAATGCAAAAACAATTAAGTACATTTGTATATAGCTTAATACCACTTCCATAAGTCTTACTTTACTATGAAGCAAAGCTTGTATACACCACTCAGAACAGATTGCGTATGTTGCTAAAGCAGTAACTGATAGCCTTTCACATGGAGACAATTGTTGGAGTTTATTTTTATCTCAAGCATTAAAATTATTTAGGCGGGTCAGCTTCTTAATAGAGCTAAAATTAATATTCATTACATCATACTTTCTGTTTCATTCCAGGACTTTGGAAGCCCCAGTACTTCATGGTTTGGGTGTAACACAACTTAAAATTTAATCCCCAAATCATGGTGGCCAACAAATTGCTTAAGGCCTTTAAATTGCATTTGTTATATTTACCTTATTTTGTGTCCTGTAGTATTCATCCACTGCATACTGGTATTTAGGTTCATTGAGTCCAAGGAATGTGACAAATTTCCCACCAAGAAATTCACAAGCTATAAAGATATTGAAAAAAAAGTAGTTTGAACAAGTCATAGATTTTGTGTGTGTGTGTGTGTGTGCAGATATGCAAGTGTATACGTGGAGCATGAGTACAATCAAAGCATCTATTAGTAGATAGTGGCCAGTATTAGTCAACAAATTCTTCCTTTTCACATACAATTTATTTTCTGATTGTTGGAAGAAGAAAATAAATTCTGTGGCTGGGGCACAATCCATTATTAATTTCTTGATAAAGGTGTAAGAACATAGGTTTTCTCAGGAATTGCTGATGTACTAAACATTCTTATCTTACTAGTAAGAATGGTATTACACTTAGCTGCTCCCCTCCCCCAATATACTTACCAAAAAATGCTGTGGCTACAATTTGAAGTGCCCAGCTTCGTAGATAATTACCCCAAGAGAGATTAGCCTATGAATAAAGCCAGAGGTCTGTTGGTAACAATACAGAGACTCATCTGCAGCTGCTACAAAGCAATCATACCATGTGGGTGCATTTCAGAGCAAGATCATAGGCTTCAGTTGCAAAAAGAGAAAAGGAAAGTTATTGCTGTACCAAAACTACAATCAAGTGGTCACTTTTGCTGAAATTTCATTCTTACATTATATAAAGAAAAGCATCACTTTCCTGGGAAACAAGTCCCAAATGAAATGTAATAGTAATAGGGCAATTCTCTCCCTGCCCCCCACCAAAATTATTTCTCTATCTTATTTTCCCTTTTTGTCCTTTTTCATGAATAAACAATGGCCTCCTTGTACCCATGAAATAGAATGGCTATCAGATAATAGAGCTTGTAATAGAAGGTAAGCAGGGACAAAATAAAACAATCAAGGCTAGGAATTAATATTTAATACTAAATGAGTAAAATATATAACCTTTATCAGCAGCCAAGAAATCCATCAGGAAGACATAAAGATTTTTGCAGACAAGATATATTTCGCATACAGGTCCCCCCCCCCAACACACACATATTAGAAGCAACATCTGAAAGGTCAACAATGTGATTCTAAAATATTTCTGAAGTTCATATTGCTTACTTCATTAAAAAGTCTTCGCATTTGTGTCACTGAGGCTGGTCTGCTCCTTTCTTTTCTGTTCTCACCCAGCTCCCCGAGCACAACAAACCTTCTGAAGTTAAATCAATGATTCCTTTATTAGGAGCTCCAGCAGACCCAGCAAAAAGTTTGGGATTCAAATTTTTAACAACTGGTTCTGTGGGCGTGGCTTAGGTGATGGGCGTGGCTTGATGGTCATGTGACTGGATGGACATGGCTTGGTGGTCATGTTATTGACTGGGTGTGGCCAGCTCAATATCACTCACATCGAAGCACGCATCTCCTCCCCTGGCCTCTCATGATTGTGGGGATGCTGCAACAGTCGTAAGTGTGAAAAACAGTCATAAGTCACTTTTTTCAGTGCCATTGTAACTTTGAATGGTCACTCCACACAAGCAAAGTACCAGCAAAGGAGGGAAAAAAACCTCCAGAGAAGTTCCTGAGACAGGAAGTCTAGTCCTGCCAAGAATGTAATAAGGGTTAACGGAGAGGCAGTTTCTGTAAGCAACACCAGAATGTTTCCTTCCTGCCTTCCTTACAGGATTAGGCCAGTAATTTCTTCTAACAACCGGTTCTCTGAACTGCTTAGAATGTTAACAACCGGTTCTAGAGAATGGGTGTGAACTGGTAGAATCCCACCCCTGCTAATAAGTCTGTCTGGCAGGGAGATAGATAGTTGTCTGCCACATCTATTCATCTCTGCCCCCTGCCCTTTATCCCCAGAGCTAGTGTGGGGCTTCGCTAGCAGCAGTGGCTCTTCTGTCCCAAGGATCGACCCACAGATTTCCCCTGCTCTCCTCTCCTCTGCCTTCTGTGCATCCGCCTGTCAGGCACTGGACCCAGGTGTTCCTCCTTTTCCTCATCAACCACCTCCAAACCTGGAGGCTGTTGACTCTCCATCTGAGGGCTGACAGATGCCCCAGGCTCTGCCTCTGTCTCTGTCTCTCTCTGACAGTTCCATTCCCTCTTCCTCAGGTTGCCTTGATGCTGATCCTGACTCCTATGCCTCCTCCTCATCTGATTTGGCTGCTGGAGAGACCAGCGGCCGACAGGCCACAACATTTTCTTTCTTTCCTTTCTATAGCATGCATAAAAACTAACTTCTTCAAATGACAGTAGCAAACCCCAGATTGCAGGAAAAGCTTATTTTCCATGGCATGATCAGCCATTGTGTTGCTGTTGACTTTCAGTGGTAAAAAAAGAAGAGGATCCATTGGTTGCCCTCATGTACCAGCAGTCATAAAATAGATGATGATGATGATGATAGCCATCATAAACTTACAGTGTCAAGTAATGGCTTCTGATTGTCCTCCTCAACATCATCTTCTGAACTGCATTCTTCCATTGTTTCACCATTTGCAAAATAAATAATCTTTCTGGGAGATTTATTATCCTTTAGAGTATCATCTCCCAGTTCCCGTCCATCATTCACTGTTCCTTCCTGTTCATCAAAACGAAAATCAACTCAGCCAAAACAATTTTAGGAAAAGATGACAATTTTTATTTCTTCTTCTAAAAATAGAATAAAAACATAATATTTGTAGCTCAGAGTTGAACTGTGGGGTCCTTAGGGCTCTCTGGTCTTGGTTGTTTTTCTGTAGATATTTCATTATCAAACTAGGTAACATCATCAATGGTATCATCATATCTCCTAGATAGATAATGTAATGTCAGCCAAAAGGAAAGAAAAAAGCAACCAAGCTCAGAGAGCACCAAGGACCTCCCAGAATAAAAACAAACTTGTTCAACTTTGAAGGTTTCATTTGAAGGCTTCTAAAATTAACTAAAACCTTGGAAACAAGTGAGGAAAATCTGGTTTAAATTTTATGAATATTGTGTTGAGAACATTTGAGCAACAAGAAAAGGTTGTTCAGTCAACATTAATCAATTGCCATGACCATGCTGTTTCCCCCCATTCTTTTATAGTGTGCTTATATGTGTTGTTCAGTGGTGAGATTCAAAAATTTTTACTACTGATTCTGTGGGCATGGCTTGGTGGACGTGGCAGGGGAAGGATACTGTAAAATCTCCAGTTAGAGGTGGTATTTGCCAGTTTTCCGAATTACTCAAAATTTTCAATACCGGTTCTCCAGAACTGGTCAGAACCTACAGAAAACCACCTCTGGTGTTGTTCCTGGAGATATGTTTTATGTGTACTTGAGACTGCTTTCATGTGTTGTAATACATGGCACATCATTTGTTCTTTCAATCCTCTGACAAAGAAGTAGTCTTTTGAAATAAGTTGGGACATTTGGTACAATAATATCATCAACTGTCATGAACATTAAAAGATGAAATTACCCATTTTAATGTGAACCAAAAATCAGATTTATTATTGAGGCATTGATTTGGTATAATACTATGTACATTAATGCTTGAAAATAGTGAGGGTTTGTTGGCTACCTGTACTTTTACTTTTCACTCCAGATGGGCTGGTAAATCAACACACACGCACACAATAAAATTACATAAAATTTCCATTGCTCTCTCATTTTTCACACAAAAATCACGAGTATGTTCTGTTCTTTGCACATGGTTACAACGTTGAAAAGGCTTATGCCAAAGGATTATCAGGATATTCATAAGCCAAATAGTGTCCTTATGATTAATATTGTTTACTTTGTTTCTACCCATCAAGATTCCAGTCAACTTTCCTTATGACTGAAGGCCAAAGAAAATGAGAAAATGAAGCATGCTTTGTTCTTCATCTCTAAATCCACCCTTCAGGTACATTCAGCTTGTTTCAAAACAATACTTGACTATCAGCAGTAAATTTTCAAACCCATTAAGAAGAATGATTGCATATCAGCACACATTTTAATAATTGTATGCATTTTGTTGTATAATAACAGTTTTCCCTAAACAACAAATTTATTCTTCAGCATTATCTTTCAAGTTATTGTTGTAACAAAGATTGCAAAATCTTTGAAAAACTCAACAAATTTCCACTTGTATCAACTTCAAAGCCATTGAGATTTGAAAGAACAGAACAAGAACTCACCTTTAAAGGTTTTTGGGAATTGTCCATCACGGAAATAATATCTGATTAAAATAATGCTGAGATAGAAGATGTATAACACATCACTGGGTGTCCATGCAGAGAAATCTTGGAAAGAAGAGCATTTCAAAGGAGGCCAGCTGACAAAAAGCAGTATAGTAGACCAGGATATCCCTTTGTCAACAAGGGTTGGCCAAGTTTGAAATGTGGGCTGGACTTTCTCCTCTTCCGTAATTTAATTACCAAATCTAAATATTTATAGTGATAACCAGAAAGCTAAACGAATGCAAAATGAGACTTTAAAAAATGGCTACACATATGATTATAAATACATTCCCCTTTTGGGGAGCTATCTTCAGTATCTTCTTTTCTATGGTTTACAATCCTCCCTCCCCCCTTTTAAGTCAAATGCTTTTGTGGTTTAGAAGTTCCGGGAATACAGTTCTTTTCCAGCAGATCTAATCAGCCAGAAAGAAAAACCAAAAACAAACACTGCACCTCTGTTGAAAAGCAACATTATCTGGAACTGTAGATGCTATGCCATCTATGGGCTGCTTTAGAGCATTGCCATGTCTTTTAAGACATCATACATAACTTGCTACATGCTAATATCTTAAGGTGTGTGAGAGAACAATATAAGAAGAGAAAACAAGGGTTCCGGGGACATTAAAAAAATCAGTATGGCACCCCCATCCTTTTTTATGTACACATTAAAAAGTAGCAGGTAGATTACGTTTCTGTTTGCTGTGTGCAAATTGAGAACAAGACACAGGCATCTTCATATACATTTCCTCTTTGATATTTTCAATAGTGGGTAGTGGTTGAAGGGGTACCGCACTGCCAACTTAAAAATGTTGGATCCAGGTGCAAACAATGATGGATTTTTTGAAGTTTTTCTTCCAATCTCTGCATTTATTTCCAGACATGTCTCATGAAATCAAAAAAACTTGAATTCTGATCATTCTTTAACTACCTATACTCAGTCTCCCTCTAACATCATTAGTTTCTTCTTCTCTCCACATTGACTCTGATCCATGAAATCTTATGCTGGAATATAATAATAATAATAATAATAATAATAATAATAATAATAATAATAATAATAATAATAATAATAATAATAATAGCAACTTGTCTTTAAGTTGTCCCAAAACATTGGGTTTAATAAACAAATCTCACAGTGCAACAGTGCCCCCTGGAGAACCTATAACAAAGGACTATATTTTAGTACTTTATTTGTTTCTCACTAGCCCTCCATTTAATTCTTTCTCCCTCCTACTGCCCTTCAATAGTAATAATGACCAACCATAAATTGCTTCCTGGCTGCAAATATATGTAGATTGAAAATGAAGAACAAATAATGATTTAACATTACAAATCAAGTCCAATGAGGAGAGCTTATGTGAAAAGAATGCATCAGTTCTGGAGAAAACACTATGCAGAATGAGAAATTACAGAACAGAAGCTAGCAGAATGTCTATTTATAATATGAAATAGTTATTTAGGAACATTAGAAGGTTTGCTATCCCTCTTCCTTTACATGGACAATCTAAAGCTGTGTGGAAAGGCATGATCTGAAACTGAATCACTGCTCAACAGCCAAGATATTACAGTGGAGTTTGGACTGGCCAAATGTGCCACACTCACCATCAATAAAGGATAAATAGTGAACATTGAAGGAATCAAGATGCTCTATGGAAATAACATCAAAGAATGGGATGGAAGTGCTCATTCTTCTGCAATGGAATTCTGGCACTGATGATAATATTACTTTATTTAAACATATATGCCTCCCAACTCTCAGCAAGAGATAAAAGCAGCTTTTACAGATATTCCCACTCGAATTAACTCCTTGCTTTACCTCTAAAGTCTCACAAAGGTGTGTTCTCTTTATAAGTGATTCAACACTGAGTTGTAATAGTATTTTGTATTTGATTTTCACAGGTAAATGTCACATTGAGACATGTAAGAGAAAAAATTGAGAGTTGAAAAGTTACATTTTCTACCTCCACCTACTAGACCAGCTTCCTTGAATCCAATAAGGTTTTGAACTATATATTAAATTATATTGAATTATAGTAATTTCAGTAACAGTGGCTACAGAGCCAGTTTACTATAGTAGTTAAGGCATCAGCTTGGAAAGCAGGAGTCTATGAGTGGTAATCCCACTTTAGGGGCCCTGATGGTGCAGTGGTTAGAATGCAGTATTGCAGGCTAATTCTGCCTATAGCCAGGAGTTCGATCCTGATCGGTTCAAGGTTGACTCAGCCTTCCATCCTTCCAAGGTCAATAATATGAGGACCCAGGTTGTTGGGGGCAGTATGCTGACTCTAAACTGCTCAGAGAGGACTGTAAAGCACTATGGAGCAGTATATAAATGTAAGTGCTATTGCTATTACGCACAAAGCAGTTGGCTGACCTTGGGCCAATCATTCTCTTTCAGCCCCAGGAAGGTAATGGCACTTCTGAAATCTTGCCAAGAACACTGCAGTGACTTGTCCAAGCAGCTACCAGGAACCAAAAACTGACTCAAAGGCACATCCCCACTAAAACAGTAATTAAGTCTAATATTTAGGACTACAACTTGTTTCTTGATAATTTCCTGGGAAAAATAATATGCCAGTCATTTTATTATGCATGAAGTGTTATCAGACTTACACAGCTTCTATAAAACTGTTTTAAGCCAGTGTTAGGCTTAGTTCATATATTTCTTAACCAGAAAGGTATAAAAAGCAGCTGCTCAACATGTAAAAAACAGCATGTCCAATTTCCATCTTGTATAGATACCAAGCCCAGCTCTAGTAAGTCTAAAAATTCTGCAAACATACAAAGAAACAATTTGAAAATATTAAGAACATATTGGTATTGAATAATTTGATCATTTTAATGAGAAAAGTACATTGGTTGAAAGTAAACCTTTATATACACATACATATAACTTAGGAGTGTAAAATGTTATATATCATTAAGAATCATATTTTCTATATTATATAGGATTCAAAATAATGGTAAACACTTTATCTTGAAATATCAAACAAGGTAAAGAGAACTTTAATTTATATTTTATTGATATATTTAAAGCCTAAAGGCCAAGATCAAGACAAAATGCAACAAGGATTGAAGAAGCATTTGGAAATGCATTTGTCTGCATTCTACAATGGCCAAGCATTAAAATTAATGTATTCATATTCTAAACATAATATAGCTGAAGAGTTTTCAGAAAAAGACAGAAGTGTATGTGTGTCTGGATTTCTGTGCCCATGCATGTATGGCACACACAGCCAAAATAATTTAAAATAGTTGAACCATCACAAATATTGTATTCTAATTGTAGACGCGCTAGGAAGCCTTTTAAAAATATGTATTACTTCAACTTCCAATTTTATGTAAGGTTCCCAGTGTTTCCATCCTAATTATTGATCAGGTCCACACTTTTTTAAAATGTAGTGATTCTGAAATCATTAACCAATAATTAATTACTTGGGAAATCTTAACAAAGATGCAATGAAAAGTTTTTACCCTTCCTTCCCTCAAAAAATAAATACATGAAAAATCTGATGGCTCCAGATTAGGTCATTTATATTTTGTAATACTTTTTAATGGTTGCAAACCTTTTAAAAGATATTTATAGTGAAACTGATAAATACTGTAATCTTTTGTCTAATTGTTAAAGAAACAAAACATGGCTGTGCAAATGTATGGAACTGAATAAATATTCTCAAAACATACAATAACTGTAAATGTAATATAATCTATTACTAACCAGAAGGTTTATCAAGGCTATAGTTCCTCACTATACATTGTGTAACTCAATTACATTTGGTCACTATTAAGAAGTGCTTAGATATCCTCAATATTTTTACATATCTAGTAAAATACAGAACAAATTTATGTTCATAATTCAAATATTTTCTTGTTACTGATTTATCTTGTTTTTATTTTAAGCAAGCAGGAAAAGATTGACTTGATTTTTGGTGACAGTCAAAATGTAGGATTGCAATAGGGCATGCACTTCAATTTAATGAATAAACATAAATGTAACAAAATAAGTGCCTAAACATTTTGACCTTAGTAAGGATTCTCATAGATGCTAAGTGTTATCCTCTAAGTCACATTAAATATTCCCACCATCTTCAAAAACCAAGTCAGAGAAATTTACAGAAGTTACCATAAACAAATCCAATATATAAATTAACAGATTTGATGTCAATTATACCAAGCACATATCAATTGGTTTTCCACTTTGAAATTAAATTTAATCAAATTCCATGTGAAAATTCCTTAAACATTTGTTATCTATAATTTATCTATTAATGATATTTTTAATGTCAGAAAACAACATTTATCGCTGGTAGCAAATGCACAACTGTTGGGAACAAATTGCATACTGCAACTTTCTAATTACATATGTATATGAGGAAGATATATGGTACTGTTAACAAAGAAAATACTCAAAGCAACCCTGTTTGTAATTCTGTATATCATGAAATATTATTATTGAAGTCTTACAATACAAATCTCCCACATTTGAACATAGGTGGAAACCAATAAGCAGAGATAAAAAGTATGTTTTTTACATTTCAGCTTTTACTGCCAAATAAGACTTGTTCTTGGCATCACCTTTTTGAATCTTCTAGTATCTAGCCTTCCAATTACATCAATAAAACTCATTTTTATGCAGCAGTTTCTCCATCTTTAGCATGCTTTAATACTTTTTATTCAAATTTTTTTCACATTACCTTGTGTCATAATTCTAAATGTTTAATAAATGATATTTATTATGGAAAGCCTCCATTGTTTAGTGAAACATCTTTGCTGATTTGACATAGCTGTACTTAAAAGTGATTCCACAAAGAGCAACCTCATAGAATCAAACTTCATTTGAAATCACTTTTAATCTTATTTAATTTGTAAAATTTGAAGTGCAAAGACGGCAGCAATCTATATTCCTACAGAGACTTAATTTATACTGTCTAGAACAGGGGTGTCAAACTTGCTGCGTCACGTTGTCATCGCGTGACGTATCGAGACTTCCTCCCCTTCGCAAAACTGGGGGTGGGCGTGGCCAGCGCATGATGCATCTGGCCCGCGGGTCCACGAGTTTGACACCCCTAGTCTAGAACTTTCCTGTGCTTAATTGTATTTTCCTCTT